ATTTAAGTAATATAGAAAGAGAATTGGAATTCAAATGACAAACAATATTTTTATTACTTTTGCAAACTTTGTTATCAAAATTATTAACATATTTTATTTTATAATTAACTGTCTGCCTAAAATTAGCTATGCGTAATATTTGATCAGTTTACAGGTCAGCTATCAATATTATTTCAATGATGGTTTTCAAAAGTTGATTTTTTTCAGCGAAATCAAATTTCAAAAATCCTAATTGATTTAGGTATGTACCTAAAGTATAATTTATTTTTACAAATTATATACATGTAACTAATCTATATTATATTTGTGTAAGTATTTTAAAAATTGAATTAATACAAGTACTTTATTCCATTATTATAGGTATTCAAATATCTGTATAATTTTTAACTTTTAATATTTAGAAAATAAATGGCTATAATTGCCTATAGATAATTATCACAATATATCATTATGTCAAGACATCGGTATAATGTTTGTGCAAATAATGTTATTGTTTATTTTTTATTTAAAATATTTAAGTAAGATTACTAATATAGCTATACTTGTCCATAATATATAGGTACATTTTTATTACGTTCAATGTAATTTTAGATAAAGAATAAATGTTAGTTAGGTACCAAAGTCTCCGGAAATATAACACTCGATAACAAAAAAATGATTTCTGAGTGTAATTATATATTAGTTTTACAATAATATGTGTTTTTTGTGTGTGCGTCTGACGTCTGACGTCACCTTTAAGAGCATTAAAAACGCTTAAAATTAATTAATTAATAATGAAAATATTAATAATTTCATTATTAATATATTTTCTGGTAGAAAAATTAATCTAGTTGGTACTATGAGAGAATTAAACAATTCCGAGTAATCTTCTTAATAATAGGGATAACAATAAAACAGGAAAAACGGGATTTTTTACAAAAAAACTAATTTTTAATAAAATATAAATGATTGTTATACATAGATGAAATTAATTCAAAAACGAATTACTGTAAACACTTTATATTTTTACAATTATTTAAATTGTCATTATTTATTCAAGGACTAAATTAAAAACTATTTTAAGCTATAAATAGTCAATTTTCGTTTTTTTTTTTTTTTAATTTCAATAAAAATGTTTAAACTTTGTTAAAGTATTTGAATAATTATTATAAAATTCAATATAAATGTTGCTTGCAAAAATTATAAAATACATTCTAGCTTATTTCACAAATTATTTTTATGAGCCTCTGAAATATTTTATACATTTTGATTACCTATAATAGATATTCATGTGTAAAATAAAAATTTTTCATAAAATAGTTTTGGTTTTTTTGTTGTAATTCAAAAAATTATTAATCATATAAACTTGAAACATTCCACTTTTATTTAAGTTGTCATTTTATGTACCTACTTTATGCAATTTTTAAAATATCTTTACTAATTTATACTTAACACCTATCGAGTATAAATTGTACAAATAAGCGGTTTCCTACTTTATAATTTTGAGCAATAAACATATTGATTTGTGTATTTCATTTGTGTCTGTGTATAAAATTAGAATTGTTTGTTTATATACATGATCTAAGTATTTTTCAAAATTATTTGGTAAAACAAATAAAAATGTATAGAAAACAATTTTTTATAAAAGATTTTGATTTTTCTATGTAACTCAAAAACAAATCATCGTAAATACTTAAAATTTTTACAAAATTACTGCTTTTTATATACATCATACATAATAACATTTTAAAAATATTTCAACTCTTTTGAGATATTTATAGACATGCAAAATTTTCTCAAGATTTTTTTAGTTTTTAGCTCGATTTATTATCAAACCTTTACTCCTTTCTAAAAGTATAATTATCTATGTACTTATAAAAGTGACGTATAATATGAAATATAAATTACTTTATTTAAATTTTCATTCTTGATATTTTCTTAAAATTTAAATATACTTGATGGTAAGTATATGAATTATAGTATAACGGATTGATTCTTGTTGTTTATACCTTGTAATATATTTATTACAATATATATTCATATATTTATGAATGTTTATACATAAAGGATCATTTTATCCACTACAAGCTACAACCTAACTTTAAATTATATATCTAATTGGTTCATTAACATTTTTAATGCTAATAGCCAACACACCGAAATATAACTAAATTATGAAGAAGGTACCTAAATAAAAAAATAATATTATTATTTATTATAATTATTATTCTCTATTAGCTGCTTATTATTACAGGAGAATTTAGGTATCTAAGCTATTTAGTTTAATTATTTTGAATTTTTATTCGTATAATATCAATATGTAAATTGTCAATACTGAATATTAAATTAATTACATTTTTAACTGAAATTTACTAACCTTGAAGAGCAAAGAAGCGAAACATATTTATATTTTAGATCTATTTGGGAGAATAGAGATTATGATCGATAAAATAAGCTAATTTTAATATTATTCTTTATTATTTTAAATTGGAAATATTTTTTACATTTTTCTATACACTTGTTTCTGAATATTATAAGTATACAGCATTAGAGTGTTTGAATAGGTGTCTTTGTTATCTAATTTATTATGTGTAGTCGATAATTATTGACGTTCATTTATCTTCAAAAATTAAAACGTTCGTGTAGACATGTAGTATTATGGTACCAATGTAATTATTATAATCAAGCAGACAATAAGTATAGGTATTAAGCATTAATTTATAATAGTTATAGTTATACCTGTATTATTTGTTGTTTGTTATCTTAATATTTTGGATTAGTTTTAAATAATTTAATGATTACAATATTTGTTAATTGTTATAATTTTATATTAATACTTTCCAAATAGGTAGGTATATTTATTATTACTTATTATAATGTCTTATAAATATGTACATTTCCAATTCCTTATTTTTAGATAAGTAAGTTACTTACTATAATATTTATTATTTGTATTGACAGTGGATCCAAATATCCCATGCTGTATAATATTACTAATATTAGTTAGGTAGTTTATATTTCATATTTAATAATATTTTTATATTACATTACAATATTAGTTTATAAATTCATTAACTTTTATTATTACAGGTAGGTGTACTCGTAAGTACCAATATGTGTACAGATGACAACAACAAATTAATAAATTTTATAGTTGTTAGGTAATAAGTAATAACTAATAATTAAAGCTAGGATTTTGATAACTTATGTTTTTTTTTCTTTGAGTACTATACAGTTCTAATCAAAAATTAAATTTGTTTCGTTGTATAATAATTTAGAACGTATAATTTTTATTTTGCATTGTTTTGTATTTTTTGCATTTTTATGGTATTTTTACAAAAATTACGCTAAATTTGTGAATTTAAACTCATTTTTTAATATGCGTTGTATAGATAATTAATTATCAACTCAAATTTGAATATATTTGATTAATTTACTTCTTAAAACACATTTTTACCTATTTTTGTATTATAAAAAAATTAAATAAATAATAATTAATATTGATAATTATTTTAAAATTAATTTTTTTTCTTCGTCTGAGTACATTTTTTTAGAGTTATTAGGTCATTTTTGCATTTTTGTGTAGTTTATAGGTCATTTAAATCCTAGCTCTACTAATAATATATTAATTATAAGTATAGTTGGTGTTGGTGATAACATAATATTAGTACAATTAATTAATTACGTTTCCATAATATGTTCTCAATGAACATTTAACGGATTAATATCATTAGGTAAATTCAATTTTCCAGTTTACTGTACTCGATGTCCTCAATATGTCAACTAGTAATGTATAAACTAAAATTGTTTCTATACTACCAAAATGGTGGTATTATACAGATAATATGTCAATAGAATATATAATACAATATAAATTATAATTTGCATTTTATATAATATCATCTCTTACATTGTTAATTATGTAGGTAATACAATTTTTTTACGACATGAACAATAAAGTTGTAAAGTTATATACAATATTAGTTAATACTACAATACATGAAGTGATCTAAAAGATTAGTAGATATGTCATAATATACCTAAACTATATTTTAGTGTAAAAATTAATGTGAAATTTATAAATTTTACAGTTAGAAAGATAAAAAAATCCAGACGTATTATAATATGAATTATGAGTACCTACCTATTATGCTGTTATATCAATAATATACCTACTCGTATAGTAATAAATCCGAATCTGCGAGTTTATTATACGATGATATATGAATTCTAAACACGAGTTTATGGATTGTTTACGAAAGCTACTGCACCAGACATGTTTATGCCGTGATAATAATATGTGCAAAGTCAGTCACCCCTTTCCGCCTCCCGCTGAGAGACCAACCCGTTCGGTCGGTAGCTGCTGTAACAATAATTATAATAATATGATGTAGGTATCTCATAACAAAAATATCATATTATGTCGTTTAGAACTACAGCGGTGGCCTTGGCCGGGCTACTTGAATATTATTATTATCATGTCAACAATTATATTTTCAGATTTTCAGTGTAATAAACATTGGTAAAAATATTGAATACGCGACTCTCGTCGCCATCGCCATCGACGTTTCGCAACGCGCGTCAGAGCTTTTAAAACGCATTTACACAAACGTGCGATGTGTTTTGGCCATATTGCGTGTACGCAATAAGTCTATTTTTTTCCTTTACAATACAAACCCGACAACTTACGAGTTACAACACCGTGGTAGCCGGTAGGTAATTTTATTTGTTCAAGCGAACGCGCTCGCGCTCGCCCCTGACACCTCCTATTATTGTACGTGTGAGAAAAAAAAAATTAGATTAAATTGTATTTATTTATTTTTTTTTTTTTTTTATCATATGAAATAGCGTCCGTCCGTCAGTAGACACATTGCCAACGCTAAATACACTATTCAGTATTTACCACCGCCTCGGCGCCGTCACCGTATCTATAGATAATATCATAGTCCAAGGGGCGGCCGGGCATCGGCAGGCAGACGTGTTTGCGCTTGCGCAGTGCCGACGACGTATTATCACACGCACACACGCACACACGTACATTCGCACACCGACGGTATCATCAATCGTGTCTGTATTTCTCCGTAAAAAAAAAACAAAATAATATAGGTATTGAAAAAAATATCGTAGAGTCGTCGCGAACGGCCGACGGTTGCGTTGTTCTCCGCTATCTAGGTACGGCGGACGTGCATTTGACTTGTGCGAACGAGTGAACCGACCGGACGGCCGTGGAGTTTTAATGGCAGTTAGGTAACCGAAAGAGATTAGACGATTTTTTTTCCGTTCAGGGTTTATTTTTTTGTTGCGCTAACCGCGGCCAACCCTTGCAACACGAGTATTTAGAACGACTGCTGCTGTGTGCACGTGATGAATATAATTGACGTGAACAGTACCGAACAGACGACTCCTCAGCTGCCACCCCTGTTACCGTTGGCTGCAAGACCGAGACGTCATAGCCGTCGGCCTACTGGCCGACACTTAGGAATATAACCACCAACTAGGTGCCATGCATCGTACCAATGTCATCGGTGGTGGTGGTGCAAACGGTCGTCGTTCTACTGTGGTCGTTGAAGAGTCTGATGTGACAGCGTCTTCAACATTTGTGGGAGTAGATGGATGTGATGATGACTTTGCTATAGATGACGAAGCAACAACTACAACCCTGATTTATGTTAAAAAAGAAACTATGGATGATGATGATGAAAGCAAACATCAATTGATCCACTTGCAGCATAAACAGCAACATGACACAAATGAAATAGAAGACGTGAGTATTGATTATCATGTAGGTACAAAATGTGATCTATAATTTTATGTTGACAATTAATCAAGAGAACTTGTCTGTTCTTAATATATCTTACATTATAATAAGAAAAACGATCAAAAAAAAAAAAGTTTCACTATAAATTAATATTTGAAAAATAGATATTGTCTTAACACATAAGTAGATATCATATAAATATAACTAATCATTAAATAATATAGATACACTTATATCATTTTATGTTCTTTGATGTAGTTTATTAAAGAATTTATTTAAATATTTTATTAATTATGACCAAAGTTTTTTACTAATAATTGTTATTAATTATGTTTTGTAATTAGTAATTAAAAAAGATAAGGAAACTTAATCAGATCCAATTTTTGTTTACCTTTTTCTTTCAATGTAAATATACAAAGAAAGTGTTCATTTACTTTAAATTTTTAAATAATACCTACAATCATTTTTGATTATTGGTAAATCACATAGGTACCTAGGTATTAGACTAGGTATATACTTATTGTTAGATCACATTAACACACAATGTGCTAGTGTTGATCATCAATTCATATTTCATTTTAATTTACTAAATAGTATAAATGAAAGCACTATGGCAATTCAAAGCCAGGTTAAAAAAAAAACTAATATATTTAACTAGCTAAAGGGTATGAATGCTTAAAAAGGCTTTTGTAGTTAATATTTTCTCATAATTCATTAATTTTTAATATAGATACTTGCCTATAATATATATTTTTAAATTAATGTTTCCTTCGAAAGATTAATAAAATAAAATTTATACTGATCTAAAATTAGATCATAAGTCTGATCTCACCATATAGACAGTCTAGTGCAACTAAACATAGATTTTAGGGAGCAGATCCCATTAATCTTTATCCTATTGTTTAAAAAAATATTCAACCTAAAGTAGACTATTTTATTCATTTTATTGTATCTTTTTTATTTTTCAATGTATTATAATTACTATATTTTTAATGATTATACAATATATTTAATATTAGCAAAAAGTAAAAATAAACACATCAAGTTTGTGGTTTAATATGTATTATCTCAAAACTTGTTTTTTTACTGTACTTATCAAAAATTGATTTTAAGTTATTTGTAATATCTCAGTGAATATTTAAAAACAATAAATCAGTTAACATACCTGTCATTAATACATTTTTAATTACTATATACTTGAAAAATTGCACTTATGTTTTCCAAAACTTACTGGAACTATGAAAACAATTTTAAAAAAATTATACAAGTTAAGAAAAGTTTATTTTTACGTGATATTTCCTTGAATATAATATCATTAATAATAATGACTGTGGTAACCATCACTATTATCAAACCATTCTAAAAAATAATCTAAAATGAAATAATTTAAAGCATTAATGTTTAAATAATGGATTTGAATAATCAAAAAACACAATATTTGTTTAAATTAAATATTTATCTATTTAAAATTTAATAACTATGATTTGGATTTTTGGGAATGCTATTCAGTCTGTGCGTACTAAAGATCTCTTAGTATCCTCCAACTTTTATCCATAATCCAGTTGGACTCTGATAATTACTTATTAGTTTAGTACTTAAAAAACATTGAAATAAGTAAAAAAATGATAACCCTCTCTCCCCAAGTTCCAATAAAGAAATATGGTCTCTCTTTAAATACTTGTATGTATTTCCACCTAACCTAACCTTGTATTATAATATATTAGATATTTCTGCTTGTACTGAGTATATTTTTCTAAAACTTATTAATCAATAGTTTAAATACTGAGTAATCTTTCTTTTTTCAAGAAAACATATTGATTCCTTTTAAGTTACTTTTTACACTAAAATAATTACATCATTATAAAAACAAAAAACTTAGTCTTAGCTTTTATATTTTTTAAAAAATAAAAATATTTAGTATTGCTTATTGTAACAAAAACAAACAAAAATAGAATATATCGACTAATTTAATTTAATTTTAATTCTTTATTAAATATGCACAAGAGAAAATTATAGAAAAAAGATTTGATTTTTGTTCAATTATCATCTGCATTATTTTAATGTAAAAAATATATAAAACTTATAAAAAGATTTTTTTTTAAACCACTGAAATTAGAAAAATAAGGACCTTCAGTTTTAATACTTCAAAATATATTAACATGATATAAATTTCAAAAGCATTTAGTTAGATTTTTGTTAAAAAAAAATATAATGCTTTATATCCTTAACTCACTTATTAATAATTAATTATTAAATAGTCCCACTGTATTGAAAGATACTTTTATTAACTATTTACTAATAATTTGTGTGTATTTATGAACTATAAATATTGATTTTTATTTATTGAATTTCTTGTTTACAGATATATCGTCGTCACCGTCGGCCTAGATTGACAGCTGCAGCCGCTAAACATCAACAACTCCAGATTCAACATAATCAGCAGTTTGACAACATCACATCATCGTCAGCATCAACTACTACCACCAATCGCCAAGAACGGCTTATGCTAGTATCTGTTGATTCTGGTAGTGTTGGAAGTGGCCGACATCGACAACCATCATCATCGGTTCCTCAATTTTGTTGTTCAAGCACCACTGCAGCAGCAGGAATACAACAGCAACAAGTAAAATGATTGAATATTATAAGGTTTGGTTTTAAAAATTATTTATAAAATATTCAGCGTATTACCATTTAAGACACTGAACTCAAGTTTTTTAAAAAATAGATGCATCTTCAAATAAGTGATTCAACTATGATTTAGTTTTACATACCCATTTTAGTTATGACATCTACATAAACCATGAGCTGTGTCATTAAATATGTCACCAATACTATTATTCTCTATGTATTTCTCGCCGGTATATATTCGCATGCACATTAAATTTGACATTTAAATAATACTTGCAGATGCATTTGAATAATTCATAGCTGTATAATATCGTTATTGCACTATAGTGTTGTGTGGTAATAATAGTGGATCACCGATATCGCGATGCAAATGCATATAATATTATTACGATATTATTATTGTTATTATGTCGTCTGTGGACTGGTTATGTAATAATACTGATTTGTGCCGAGTTTTTACTGCAATAAATCGGTTGTTGTTATTTACGATACGTATTGATACAATTATTACTCGTTCATCACTTTCAAAATGTGGGTACTTAACAATATTTACTGTTACCGTGAGCAATTATAATAAGTTAATCAATAATATTACCTTAATATTAATCACATAACACGAATACTAAGGATTACAAAAAATGTTTAAGTACATACTGTTTCATCGTTTTGTTTTTTTCTATAGCATCAGCATCATCATAACCAACAACAACAGCAACAACAAATTCCGCCTTCTAATACCGTTGTAATGATCAAAGAAGAAGATGTATCCATGTCAACCGCGGTTGGTGGTGATAATTTGCATCACCATCACCATCATCATCAACATCAGCACCATCATCAGCAACAACAGCATAATATGAATACGGCAGCGGCGGTAACAATCGTCACTAACAATAATAACAACACCACTAATGCCACTTCTTCGTCACCACCTCCACCACGACGCCTGTGTCTGGTATGCGGCGACGTTGCTTCAGGTTTCCATTATGGCGTAGCATCCTGTGAAGCTTGCAAGGCGTTCTTCAAGCGCACCATACAGGGTTTGTACAAGCCCATGTTCTGTTTTTTTTTTTTTTTTTTAACCTATCTATTTCCTTACGACTTACCTACTTACACCGCATTCTTAATACTCGCACTTAACTAATCCCCGAATTGCCTATCCTCACGCCGTGGAATCTCATCACGTCATACCTATTTCAGCAACTATCTGTTATTATTACCATTATCACTACCAACAAATCCCTCGCTGTGCGCGATTGTAGAGTACACAATTCAATTCGTAGTTACTAACTAAAATACCTGTTGTGATAAATTGTATTAGGTATAACTATCCTTAATTTTAATATGAAGGTAACATCGAGTATACATGTCCTGCCAGTGGAGATTGTGAAATCAATAAACGACGGCGGAAAGCATGTCAGGCATGTCGGATGCAGAAATGTCTGAGGACCGGCATGCTCAAAGAAGGCGTACGTCTGGATCGGGTGCGCGGTGGTCGTCAAAAGTATCGAAGACAGCCGTCTACTCCTATACCTACTGCGGCGATCTCTGTCGTCCAATCGACACCACAAACTGTGCATCAGCAACAGCAATCTACTGCAGCGACAACTGTCAATAATTCTATTCACCACCACCACCATCATCATACGCACAACAATGCTGCATCGTCTATACATCATCACCACCATCAACAGCAGTCTTTTAACAATGGTTTTGGAAACAATAAAATTATTACTCATCACCATTCATATCACCATCAACAATTGAACTCAGTGCCTCGTCAAATGTGTTCAAACGGTAGTAATGGTACAACTGCTGCAATGTCAGTACACAGCAATCATCACCACAGATTACTTAACAGCAATGGAAGAGGAACTAGTGGGTGGAACAACAATAATGACGATGGTGTGTGTATCAAACAAGAGTATGAACAGCAGTGTTGTTGTAATGATTCTGTAACTGCAGTTGATGCAATCAAGGAGTGTGGTGAGTTTTAAAGTTAATATAATAATTATTTTATTCAATAATTTTAAAAGGTTTAAGTAAATTAGTTGTATTATCACTAGATTCGAAATTTTAAGTGTTACATTTATTCATGTTTAATATTTTATCAAATGTCAGTTGAATTAAATTGCGATATTATGTTAATAAGACGTCAAACCCTCATGCATCTATCTTACAAGCACACACATATCAATATGTGTTGTGCTTCTACAGAACTAATTTTGTGTTATTAGCTAACTAGATGATTATCCTAATCTAACTTATCTTTAACTAACCTAGATTGAATTTACCTATCATTCAACTTAAAAGTTAAAATATTAATTAGGAAATCTCAAAATCTTTTATTGATATTTAAATCTTAAAATTTTTATATTTTACATATCTAACTATAACTTATTTTGAAATAAAAATCTCAATACAAGCCTATAGATATCTTATAAGATGATCTAGATTATACTCTTACTTTTAAGCTGAAAAATATCAATTGACATTAATATTAAAGCTAATAATACAAAATTAATTTGCCCGGATGAAGATTTGATATGTTTTACTTAGACTTATATGATTGAGACAACAAATTATGTAGATTTTGTGCTATCTTTAATATTAAAATATTTTAATATGTAGTGTATTCATTGTTTTGAATATATCTTGTTTTTTATCATTAAATTAAGTAAATAATAACTTTTGTATGTTTGGTTGTTTTTAGAAAAAATGTTGGAAGCCCTTAGACAATGTGAACCTGAGATGCCAACGCTATTAGGTAACGGGGACGGATTAACTAATGCCGCTCTCACAATGGAGTTTTTCACACAGTCCTCAACACTTGGTGTGCAACAAGGAACAGTAACCGGGGTGACAAGGGGTGGTGGTGTAGTTGAAGACAGTATATCTTCAACATCTCCATCTTCTACATCATCATCATCATCATCAGCAGCATCAGCAACATCATCACCATCAGTGGCAGCCACTATGGTGGTGCATACGCTCGCTGAACTATATGATAGAGAGCTGGTAAGCACCATAGGTTGGGCCAAGCAGATACCTGGTGCGTATACAAATTAATTTATACATGTATAATATTACATATATAGTTATGTTTAATTATAGATATATTATAAATTACAAATTGATGCAAAATTAATTGTTGACAAACTTTCTAATTTTTAATCTATCCATTGGTATTTAAAATTAATTTATTAAAAATGGTCTTAGGTATATAATTACTTTTAGAGTTTCTTTGTTTCTTATTTAAGGTAAGCCATTGCAAGTGTTTTTTTTTTTTTTTTTTAGCAAAAAGCCCTTTGACAAATCGATTTAAATGTGTTTATACATAGTCTTGATATCAATATATACATGATTTAATATTGAAAAAATGTATTTTTATCTGTAGGGTTCACAGACCTATCACTTAATGACCAAATGCGCCTATTGCAATCAACTTGGGCAGAACTATTGACATTAACCACGGCATTCCGTTCCTTAGAACAGTTTAATGCTCAAACTGGTGATGGTAGTAGTGACATTAATAAGATTGGCGTTGTTGGTGAAGAAGGTAGTGGCAATAGTCTTAAGTTGCGGTATGCTACAGACTATTGGTTAGATGAGAAGTTAGCTAAAGAGTGTTGTTCTACAACTAACGGCGCCTCTTCATCATCAAATGGTACAGCTAGTGGTACAGGAGTGATAACAACTCCAACTGTGCTAGACATTTACAATTTGGTTAGTATTATGGACCGAACAAACTTTGATTTCACTTTAATATAAATGTATGAATCCTAAATGTTTCCTTTTCCTTGAAAAATCGTTCATATAATTTTCTACAATACTAAAGTAAAAATGTAAAAATATAACTAAATCATTCTTATCTAATTTTAATTTAAATCATTATTTACTAAATATATGTGTCTAATAGAATTTACTGATAATCAATAATTTAATTGTTTATTTAAAAATTATATTAAAAATCAATATGATGCTTATTTACCAAGATATTCTATGAATAAAAGTAATTCGCTAATTTTTTTTTTTTTGAAAATAAAATATCAATAATTTTTTCTTGTTAAAATAACTAATACAATTTGATAATTCATGATTTATATTTAAAGTAATACAAGCATGTATAATACATTTATTTATTCTTAAATTATAAAATATATAATCTGTAAGGTATTCTGATTTTTATAAATGTGTTAACAAAATCCAATGATAAGCTAAAATATTTTAATAATTTATATTTAAAAGAAATTATTTTCTCCCATTTTATATAAATATTAAATAGTTTATTAGTAAAATCTACTAAAGTGTCTATTAAGGAGAAATATCTTTTATATATTTGTGCATTTAATTGTACAATTTAAATATGACATGATAGTGTATAATTCTTTCATCCTTGTAACATAAGCTTATGTTAGCTGTATTACCTTTATCAATCTAATATTTATTTACATAATTTGCTGACTAATTAATCATCATTACTGCTTAAACTGCTAATCGTAGTTTCATTTTATTTCACTTACAGCAATAGTTGTTAATAAAACTGAAATATATGTCTCCAGTCAGACAATATAAAAAGTAAAACAGTTATTTATAAAACATTTGATATTGTTACTTTATTATTGTACATATTTTGTGCCGATATGTATAAAGAATAATTATACTCATTTCCCGATGTTCTTTACTAAGCACCGCGTAATATGTAATAATTTTTATAAAATATCCGTATAGACCTAATTGCTTGAATGCAACATAACCAATTTTTAATTTACTTGATTTAGGATTGTAAAATAATAGTAAAAAAACTTATTTTATAATATACAAATAAATACTGTATAAATTTGAATAATGCATACAAATATAACATTAATAATTATCTGATTTTTGTTTGTGTGCTGCTTAGTCGGCTCATATAGTTCGACAATTTAGGGCAATAAATGGTGGAGAAGGCTTGACTTCAGATCAGTACTACCTGCTTAAGGCGTTAGTCTTGGCTAATTCTGATGATCTAACATTAGCATCATCATCATCAGCTGCAGCAACAACAGCAGCAGCCACTGAAAAGAACCACAGTACCAATAAAACGGCATCTAAAGGCAACGATGTAGTGGTTCAGCAGCAGCAATCAGCTGTCAAGCAATTTCGTGCTACCATTGCCCGTGCTCTTCAAACCCATTTAGAGATGACTGTGGCGGTGACGGCGGTATCAAATTGTTGTTGTTGTGACGGTAGTACCAATTGTTGCTCTACACCAACTATGACCATGGATTGTTGTGGAAATAGTGGAGCCACCACTACAGATGACAGTGGGATGACTACCAATTGCTGTAGCTGTTGCTGTAAAAATAACAGCAATAACAATTCTGCATCTAATCAGGTTGACAATGGTGGCGAGATTGTTGTTGTCGTTGACAACAATCAACAACAACATCATTGCCAACCACAACAACACATGGATACCTCAGGCATATCCACTACAGATGCTTCTTCGGCTACAGTTGTTGTTGTCGGGTTAGTAACATATTTAAAGCTATTAATATGTAATATTTTTTTTTATTTACTAATAAGACTATAATATTAATTATTATTTAAATTTATAATATATCATAATTTTCAACAGTACCACTAACAACATTGTGATGGAAGATGATGATTGCTGTGGAGGCACTCCATTAGTTGACAACCAACAACACCATCATCACCATTCTCATCATACAGAATCCACAGACTCTGCTTCGTCTAAGCTTATTCAATTGCTTATGTGTTTGCCTGCACTTCGGCAGGCTGATCAACTAATCCGGCAGTATTGGACCCGGGTTCACCGGGAAAATCAACAACAATTAGCTACTACCACTCAACCATTACAACCACAAAACACAGCTGCTACAGGTTCTGGAGTAGGTTTTGCCAGGCAATCTGCAGCTGCTGATCGATCATCATCTATAGGTAATGGCAGTGGTAGTAATGGTACAACTGTTGTCAAAATGAACAAATTGTTTGTCGAGATGTTGGAGGCCTGTTTGCGGTAATTACATTATTCAGTGATCGTCATATTGCTCCTCTGTATTCTGGGTGGTATTGCAGCATTAATAGCAGTGGTAGACATCACAGACTTTTAAACTACATAAGATAATTTAAAAACTCGTGTAATCAAATGAGGCATCATAACACATTTATTTGGTTGGAAAATTAACATAGATATAAATAGTCATTAATACTGTATAATATATAGTATATTTCTATGAAATTTTAACAACCAAAAACATGTTAGATGAACATCAAATTTTTATATGCAAAACATTCCGGGTTATTTATCTAGTTTAGTATGAAAGTCTGTGGGTAGTGTTTAATAGTTTTACAATAGTGGTAGTATTTTGTTTTGTTTTATATTTTTATCAATAGTTATAGCCATGGCAACAGTGAACGTTGATATAAGCGTTTATATATTTCCAATAAATAATAAATTCGCTACTGCCATATATCTTTAATTTATGTTAGAATTTTTGTGTCACTTGTGTTTCTTTTTTTTCATAATTATTTACCACAATACCCTCCTCTCATAAACATACCCAAATTATTATTGTATGTATAAATTGTATACGAACATTGTGGATGTACGTTTATGTATTAAAATATAATAGATATTTATATTATGACTATTTTAATTATAGACGAACAAATATTTTTAAAAATATGTACATACATATATATATACAATTTATACAATATATATGTATGTATAGTTTTAGTTTTATAATAATAATATTTTATTGCCAATCATTGTTATTGTTGAGATTGTTATAGTTTTTTTCTCTTTTATCATCGTTTGTTGTTAAATATTTATAGTAATATAAAATATACGTAATTATACGAAGACCCATAAAATTTATTTTAATATATTTTTGTATTTTATTTAGTGATTTCAGAAGCCACTAGTCAGTGTTTAATTAAAAAGGTTATATACTATGTTAAAGTTGTTTTATTGAATATTATTGAATGTTTCATTAACAAACTAATATGAAGGCGATGTTAATACCGTATTACCCAATGAACCTTAAGAATCTGATTAGTGATTACATAAACCCCTAGTATACACACATTTTAACAACTAAATCACAGTAGTTAGATGTACAATTTATTATAACCTTATAAAATATACATTTTTAAATAATTAAATCTATAATAAAAGACACAAAAATAAGAATTAAATTTAAGTATACAGTATTAATTAAATTAGATAAATTAAACATATTATACATTTATATAATAATATTTTTGTATTAAATTATTTTCAGTGCAAACAATCAAATGTTTTAAGTAAATACAAACTACTAATTCAATAAATGTAAAAAAAAAAATGGTATAATAACAATTAAATACCTAGTTAATATCTAAGTAAACTAAACAAAGACGATAATTTATTAATATTAGATTGAATAATTTCTTTTAGCTGTCCTATTTATTAGATCTTATTAGTTATTGATTACTTACCTACTATGTTCTGAATTACTTTACATATTAAGTATTAATTATGCAGAAATCATACCAATTATGTGTAGGTACCTATCTACTATCGATAAACTTATACTTAATCACTTATCATTTATTAGCAGATACTTTAAACAATATCAACAATCTCCTCTACAGCATTTACATGCCCAGTCTAGAACATAATAAGTGTCTAGACCGTCTAACACTGCAGGAAAAATGTACTTAATGTTAATACATACAGTACAAAGTAAGATGATATGTTTATTTTTTTCATGGTTATAAGTTATGTTAACAATTTAAACCTCAAAACTTTGCTATTTGAGTCTTAGGTTTCATTCTTTTGAACCAAAAGATAATTGTAGTCTGCAGTTCACTCTCACTCTTATACTTTTAATTTTATAACATCTATAACTACTATACAAGTATACAACTACTTGTACTAATTAGAAGTTATAGACTTATAGTACAGTTTTATAAAATTTAACTTGATAATAACTCCCATTTTAATATTTTTATTATATTGATACAATTTATTTTGATGCAATACTAATTATTTTTACCAATAGTTTAATATTTAAAAGTTTAAAATTATTAGTTTAATGATTAAACTCAAAATTCAATAAATAGGGAATTAGATTTTTAATTTTCACCAACAGTATTACTTTTGAAGTTTTTCTAAAAGAAATAATTTTTTAGAGAATAATCTATACTAATAATACTTCATAGTTGTTTTATGAATTATAAGAAAAAATGTATAATTTTTTTTCAATACATATACAAATCATTTATTATTTATTAAATTATGTAATTTTAAAGTAACATAAAATTTATGACTCTAAGTTGACTATTTGACATACCGCACAATAGTCTATTCATAAGAGAGAGTAATATATAGTCTTTGAATATAATTTTCAAAATATTTAAATTAAGTTGAAGTGCCTATTTTATGGACGTAGCCCGAAAAGTCATATTTTATTGACTTTTTAAAACTAACTTTAAAGATACGTTCAATTATACTCGTATAAACTAGTAGCTACTAAACAATGAAACTTAAAATTGTTCATTATCGCATATACTATTTGTATAAATTAAACGTTATCGCATTGTTCAAAATATAAATGTGCAGGGTTTGAAAATATATGTTAAGTTTGTGTTTTAATCATTTCATACATCGTCAATTAAAACTTTTTATTGAGGCTTAAACAAATATAAAATTGTATAGTTATCGACGTATCGTTATTTTTGCCGGAAAAATATAAATTTTAAGTGCAAGTTTTATAAGTATGTTATTATCTTTAATTAAAAATATTTAACACTTGCAATAGATGTTTATAGCTTTTAAATTACATATGATTCTTCATTATCCTTTCAGCGCATTTTAAAGTGTTATTTTGTCGTTTTGATGCATTATGAGATTTATTAGCGCATTTTTTTAAATGTATAAGCTTACTTGAATATTTTAACTAATGTATATTATTTTAATATTATATATAAATATATAATTCTTTCTAAAACCTTAAAGTCTAAAAAATATACTATTTCAATTTTGTTCATCTGAAGTTCAAATTTGGACGAAATGATACATATTGATAATAAATTCCTACAAATGTCAGTTATTTTTTTTGTAATTTAACCTATTCCACTTAACCTATTTGTGGGGACTTATACGTGCCTATATATTATTCACACATTTTTGTACACTTACCCTTCACAATGGTATTTTAAAAACATTTAGATTACTTGTAATAAGTTATATTACATATTAATATCGTATTACTTATAGTAAAATAAATTATAATGATGATAATTATCTAATTGATAATTATAAAAATATTAACGATATAAAATAAACTTAGTAATTTAACCAATATCCGGACTGTCTCCACTCAGAATTATTTTATTTATGCAATGATTTATCATTGATATTTAAAATTTATTGTTGGACTTGTTGGAGCCAATGCATTTTTTCATATATAAAATAGCAAATGAGTTTAATCGTTTTTGACTCATTGACTTATTGTTGATACTTCAATATTTGCCACGTTTTCGATGAATTTCCTAGTTTATTGAAAAACCAATGGCGTAGCATGAAACTTGGTGGACCTGGGGCCTATAAAAGTTATAGAGGGCCATAACGTGAAAATTAAACAGTGATTTTATGAGGTAAAAAAAAAAATGCATGTAAAGGTACCTGTTTTATTTTACTGCTTATAATAAAATTTTAAGAACAATAATAATAAAATATAAAGTGTTATATTACAAGATATGATTAAAAATTAACTTTCCTATCCTTCATTCGAGCAAACTTGTGAATGACTTCATTCAAATTGAATTGTTGTGCCCGCTTATTTTCGATGGAAATAATTGACAAACCACTCAACCGTTCCTCTAAAATCGTACTTCGTAAATAATCTTTTATTATTTTTAATCTTGTGAATGATTGTTCTGCTGCTGCAACAAATAAATAGCCTATAGGTTACGTCAAGTATAGAATAAAAGTAGTGCATGCATCAGGGCATGTTTTTTTAAGAAGAGAATGTTCAATATATAACATTTCTGCAATTTCTTTTGCTGTCTTTAACTTGATTGATATTATGCCTTTAAAACATGATCGAAAATATAGTATCTAAATATGATGAACAAAATCTGGAAAAATATCTTGGTTATACTTTTTTTGTAGTGTTTCTGTTGACTTTATGAAATAAAAATATTTTGGTACTAAATAGGTATTTATCTAAATATTATTTAAGTATAATCAAAGATACCAAAAAGTTGCAGTTCGTTGATCGTTGTGGTGCAGCTATTATCGCGTAGAGCATTCAATTTTATCTAATACCACGCGATAAGCTATAAGTTTATTTTTATAAAAACTCCCCATTTGAAGAACTAATGACGTAATATGATGATTTGCCGTCACTGTACAGTGTTTTTTGTATTTTTCATAGTCAAATTATTTTCAATGTAAATATTATTTAATAAATAAATAAAAAAATATATTAAATATTTTTTTTTATGTAATGGTATTATAACCGTTTAGGTTTATGGCCTCCCAACTTGGACTTAACTTAGGGGCCCCGGTGGCTTCGGCCTAAATACGCTACTATGAAAAATCTTTTTACCCTTGCTATAGTTACTGGAATAGTAGGTAAAAAATATTTGGAGAATAATATATTTATACGCGTTTACAAAAATTGTCTACACATTTTCGTGTAAATTAATTTTAATAATTCTGATGATCGGATTACAATACTTTTTTTGAAATATAATTATAGAATTAAGTCAATTGTGTAGTAAACCACATCATTTGTAATTTGTAAATACCATTTCGGATTTTGTACTTTCAAAAAAGACTTCAGAAAAGATTTTGAAGTTTCATCAAAAAATGTTTTATTTTATTTAAATAAATTTTAGGCCAATTACCTCATTATTTATTTTATAGGTTTTTTTCAAATTTGAGTGGAGGTTTAATTTTACACTTAATGATGTTCCTCTTTTTTCGTTTAACTTTTATAATTTATAAATTCACTAAATCATTCATAAATTTCGAATACTTTAGTTTAAAAAAAATATTATTTAATAAAATATAAGTATATCTACCTATAAAAACTTCAATAATTTCAAATTCATTTAATAGGCTCATGTACTTGAGGTCCATAATCTACCATATATTTTCCATTTCTCAATGTATTAAAATGTCTATGATAAAACAGAGAATGAAATGTCTATAAATGAACATAATCACTTATTGTTATCTATGTATAATAATTATTGCGAAAGTTCAATTTGTACTTTGTACTTTTTTTTAACAGGAGCTGGAGGAGTGGGTTATTATTTGGTTGTTACTCGTGTCTCATGCAATACTTTTTTCCAATGTACTTTGTACCTATAATTTAATTATCAAATATTTTTAATGTATTCAATATTACACAACAATTACACTTATAATTTCTTACCATGTTACTATGGTTTATGTTGTACTTCTAGACGACTAGACGAGCGTATTTCGTAATGTTTACAAATTATTATCAATTGACATTTACGACAGTAAATATAGTTGATGCACATATGAGTTTATGAGTATTTGAAATAAGTAATATTTTTGAAATTATAAATTACGTAGGTATACCTACCGTGTATATTT